TCAGAAAAGAATTATTCCTGTTTTATTGCAAGAGATTTTCTTTTGTCATTCTTGAGTTGCTGGGATCGGGATTATTGTTCACCATTTTACCTTGATATTTTAATTTACATCTTCCGCATTGCACATCTGAGCCCAATAAGTGGTATCAGAGCCTCAAGTTGGGCTCTGTATCGGCCAGTGTAAATTAAATGGAGGAGAACGTGAGTACCATGGTGAAGCTCACAACAACAAATTACTCCATTTGGAAGCTAAAAATGGAGGACATACTTTTTTACAAAGATCTGTACGATCCTGTAGAAAAAGGAGACAACAAGCCAGATGATGTGAAGGATGACGATTGGAAAAAGTTACACAGGAAGGCTGTCAGTTTAATCCGACAGTGGGTGGATATCAGCATATTCCACCATGTTGCCACAGAGTCGAAAGCCCATACTCTGTGGAACAAAATTGAACAGATGTACCAGAGGAAGACTGCAAAGAATAAAGCTTTCGTCATTAGAAAGCTTGTAAATCTAGAATACCGGGATGGAAGATCAGTTGCAGAACACTTGAATGAATTTCAAGACATGGTGAACCAACTTGTTACCATGGAGATGAAACTTGATGAAGAGCTGCAGGCGTTGTTACTTTTGAGTTCTTTACCAGATAGCTGGGAGACTCTGGTGGTCTCGTTGAGCAACTCTGCTCCTGAGGGAAAACTGACTTTGACCCAAGTCAAAGACAGTATGTTTAATGAAGAAACAAGAAGAAAAGACTCAGGGGCAAGCAACTCCCAAGCTCTGGTCACAGAAACCAGGGGAAGAAGTAAAAGCAGAGGCCGGAATAATAAATCCAGAGATAGATCACAATCTCAACCCAGGAGAAAGTTCAAGTGTTATCACTGCGGTGAAGAAGGGCATATCAAAAGAAACTGCAAAGCCTGGAAGAATAGAGGTTGGAGAAATAACCAGACAGAGAACGATGAAAATACCGCAACCCCTGTGTTCAATGAGGAAGTGGTGTTGCTCTCTGTTGAAGAAAAAGAGTGTCACGTTGCAGATTCATGTGTTGAATGGGTCATTGACTCAGCAGCATCATACCATGCAACCTCTCACAAGGAATTCTTTTCTCTATACAAAGAAGGAGACTTTGGTAGAGTAAAGATGGGCAACAACAGCGTTGCAAATATTGTGGGAGTTGGTGATGTATGCATTCAAACTGATATTGGGTGCACAATAATACTGAAGAATGTGCGACATGTACCTGACTTACGTCTGAATCTGATCTCTGTGCATGCATTGGATCTAGCAGGCTATACTAACAATTTTGGTAACGGCACGTGGAGACTTACCAAAGGATCATTGTTAGCTGCTAGAGGTACAGTGAGATCGACACTGTACAGAACTCAAGTGAAGCTGATCAAGGGTGGATTGAATGCAGTCGAGGATGATGCTTCGCCAAATTTGTGACACAAAAGACTGGCTCATATTAGTGAAAAAGGATTACATATTTTGGCAAGAAAGTCCCTCATCCCATTTGCCAAAGATTCAAAACTAAATCCTTGTGATTATTGTCTCTTTGGGAAGCATCATAGAGTGTCTTTCAGCAAAACCTCGAAGCTGAAAGAGAATGTGTTGGAGATGGTGTATTCTGATGTATGTGGACCCATAAAAGTGGAGAGTCTCGGTGGTAGCAGATATTTCGTGACATTTATTGATGATGCTTCACGAAAATTGTGGGTGTATTTCTTGAGAACAAAGGGTGAAGTTTTTCAATACTTCAAAAGGTTTCATGCTCTGGTGGAGAGACAGGCTGGTAAATCTTTGAAGTGTCTTCGCTCAGACAATGGGGGAGAGTATACTTCCCATGAATTCAAGAATTATTGTGCCGAGCATGGCATCAGGCATGAGAAGACTGTACCTGGAACCCCACAGCATAATGGTGTGGCTGGAAGAATCAACAGAACCATTATGGAGAAAGTGAGGTGTATGTTAAGAATGGCTAAGCTACCTAAGCCATTCTGGGGTGAAGCTGTTCTAACGGCGTGCTACCTGATCAACCGATCTCCATCTGTTCCTTTGAGCTTTGATATCCCTGAGAGAGTATGGTCCGAACATGATGTTAAATACTCTCATTTGAAGGTGTTTGGATGCAAAGCTTTTGCTCACGTAAGCAAGGAACAAAGACGAAAACTTGATGATAAAGCCATTCCTTGTATATTTTTGGGCTATGGAGATGAGGAATTTGGCTACAAGTTATGGGATTCAGAAAATCAAAAAATTATTAGAAGCACAGATGTAGTGTTCCATGAGCAAGAAACTATGTCTGATTCTGCTTTACCAGATACAAGAGAACCAAGTGGAAATGTGGATCTTTCACCTGTCAAACCTCCTGGAGATGCCACAGCAGGGGGAGAGTGTGATGGAGAACTCAGGGTTGATGATGAGCCAGCAATAGAAGATGGTGATGGTGAAGGTGTCGAGCAGGAAAATCTCGAAGCTTCACCTCAGCTCAAGAGATCAAATCGAGCAATCCAACCATCTACGAGATATCCTAGTTCCACGTATATTACCATCACTGAAGAAGGGGAGCCAGAAAGCTTTGAAGAAGTTCAAACTCATAAGGATAAATCCTAGTGGATGAAAGCCATGCAAGAAGAAATGGATTCACTGATGAAAAATGAAACTTATGAGCTTGTGAAGCTTCTAGAAGGCAGAAAAGCCTTGAAGAATAAATGAGTGTTCAAGCTTAAGAAAGATGGTGACAAGCTGTTGAAGTACAAGGCTCGCTTAGTCGTGAAAGGATTTGGACAAAAGCGAGGAATAGATTTTGATGAGATCTTCTCACCAGTTGTAAAGATGAGCTCTATCCGAGTAGTACTCGGATTGGTGGCTAGCTTGGATCTGGAGCTCTATCCAGAGTTTAGTTTTTGAGCTTAGCATTTAAGGAGGATAGATTGTAACGCCCCGTTTTATTTTATTAAATTATAGCGTTTTATCGCTCGACTAATTTGGAATCCGTTTGTGCCTATCATTTGCCTGATTGAATTATGAGATTATGTAGATTAAATGCTTGATTGAATTATGTGATTATGTGAATTATTCTCTTAAATAAATTATGTGATTATGTGAATTATTTTTCTTAAGTGAAATTATGTGATTATGTGGATTAATTTATTGATTGATTATGTGATTATGTGAATTATTCTCTTAAGTGAATTATATGATTATATGAATTATTTTTCTTAAGTGAAATTATGTGATTATGTGATTTATTTTTCTAAGTGATTATGTGCTTTATGATTATTTTTGCCTAAGTGTTCATTTGGAATTTTTGGTGCTTAAGTGTTTTAATTTCTAAGTGTCCAATTTATTTCTCTAAGTGCTTATTTGAATTTATGTGCCTAAGTGTTTATTTTTGCATAAGTATTTTATTTTCATAAGTGTTTAATTTATAATACAAAAAGTGTGCTAAGTGTCCACTTTAATTCCTTCTAAGTGTTTTCTTGTGCTTTTTGTGTAAAGTGTTAACTTTTGTTTTTCCTAAGTCCTAAAATTTGGCTAAGTGTCAAATTTAGACCCTAAGTAAGCTAAGTATACTAGTCCAAGCGAGCTCAATAGCTTTTTATTTTTCAGTCCAAGCAACCCAATTATCCAGCTTAAGTCTCAGCCCAAATTCCAAGACAATTAGCCCAGGCTCCTCTAAAACCTAGCCCAAGAGCAGCATAATGTTCGGCCCAACACCAGTTGGCCTTATTTTCCCAAGCAGTCAGGCCAACTCTTATTTTTAATAAAAGTCTTCGTGTTGTTTCTATTTGGCCCAAGAAGCTAGTTTAAGCCCATCTCCTTCATTTGTTCGAAAAGCAAAGCAACAAAACTCGCAAGAATCGGTCGCAGCTCAATAACCTCCATGTTTTTTGGCCATTCCCCAAAATCCAGCGCGACATTCCCTCCAAGGTGAAACCCTAATCTCTCTATTTTTAAGCCCTCGGTCGCCACTCTCAATTCTCCCTGAGTGCAAGTTCACGGAAAATTCGCAGAAATCTGTAAATCTGAGCTTTGTTTGTGATAAACCGAAAAACGAGAAGAAAAGATGAACAGATCTTAAATCGCCATTTTCATTTGAGCTCAAAGCTCTGTAAATTCAACTCAAAATGATAAGAGACACGTACAGCATGCTTAATACCCGTACAGTCCATAATGCCCTACCATAAGCCAACACGTGTTCTATTAAGAGACTAAAATAAAACGCACCCAAAATTAATGAAAACGCGCCCTAAAGAGTCCAAGAGAAATGCGACATAGTTAATAAAAGGATGAACAACAGAAAAAAGATAACTGCATGATAACATGCATTACAAACTTCAATCATGTATTACACACTTCAACAAAA